ACTGGTCATATATCATATCTAAGCACTATGTTCAGAATAATAGACTAGATTAATGGTTAAACAGATTACCTATATATTCTGAGAAAGAATTTAACTAAGTTTGAGATGTCATAATTCAAAATAAAACAAAATATCTGATAACGGTCCTAAAATGCATTCATTAAGTTTAAAACATTCAGGATTTAGATGGCTAGAAATGCATAAGTTGAATTTTATACACATTATAGCAATTATACAAAAAAAAAAAAAAAAAGAACCACGTTTTAAGCTTAAAACTGAAGTTGGAGTGACACAAAATAAGTGAAAATAAAAAATAAAAAAAATATGAATTTATACACAAAAAAAGTGTCACACATAGAAATTAAAAAATTCAAACCAGCATTTCAACATACATGCATATTATCATAGTGCCAGATTGTGAAAAATTTGTTATGGTACAATAATCTCCTTAAGCAACAGTGAAATAAAACATTTAAGACACCTAGGAATAGCAACATAAAAACTACAAAAAAAATAAAAAGGCAAGAATTAAATATGAATGGGTTTCAAAATTATATAAACTAATAGAAGAGTTAATTTTTTAGAATGTTAATGACATAACAATGAAATAGAACACATTTTAGCACACATAGATATACAGCTAATGCCATCGGAATTCCATATGAAACTTTACGAGACTCTGTCAGGCATTTTCGGGAAACTGGTTCTTACAATAGACGGTTCTGGACGGCCTAGGGTAACAGAACCACGGGATGACCGGTTTTTGACTTTGAGAATTTTACAAAACCGGCACCTTACCGTTGTTCAAGCGATTCATCAGCTCGAAGAAGTTCGAGGTGTGCAAATTTCTGAACGTACTGCTCGGAGAAGATTAAATGAGTATGGATTAATGGCTTTTCGTCCAGTAAGAGGACCAGAGTTGACCAGAACTCACAGAGTAACACGGCTGGCTTTTGCTCTAGAACACAGCCATTGGACTATGGACGAATGGAGTGCTGCACTTTTTACAGATGAGTCGAGATTCTCTCTTTGATCTCCAGACGGGCGTGAAAGGGTGTGGAGAAGAAGAAACGAAAGATATGCAGCCTGTAATTTTTCCCCGAGCCAACCTTTCCAACGTGGATCCTTAATGGGTAACAAGTGGGTGGAATTTTTTGCCTGTCAGTGTATATATATATATATATATATATATATATATATATATATATATATATATATATATATATATATATATATATAGAGAGAGAGAGAGAGAGAGAGAGAGAGAGAGAGAAACACTTTATTATCATAAAAGGGTGCTGCCCAATTACATATAAAACATTTGAGTAATACTTATAAAAAAAAATAAATGAACTATGTTCATGTTTGACTAAATCACATTCAATAAAAAAAATATATACACATTACCTCACACTGGTTGGAACAATCTATTATATTGTAATCTTCATTATCTTTTTTAAAACTGAAAGCAGGACTACAGAAATTCATGATTTAAACTGACAAAACAATAAGATTAATAATTAAGTCACCATTTTAGAGTCACAGTGCAGTTACTAAAATTCTTTAGAAAATAAATATATACATTTATCAATATTCTTCATACTAAACGAAAAGTGATTGCACAGAACTAATATTTTCAAGAAATATCTCACAATTTTAAGTTTTGGAGGGAACAGTCGATTCTTATCACCAACGACGTAGAAATGCGAATGTAACGTCACAGTAATAATTACCTGATTCCCTAATTCAGAGGGAAAATGGTGGGGAGAAACCGAACTCTGAAGTAAACACTAAACCACTATTACCCCTCCTGTCTTTGTTTCTGGACGTTTTAAGATTATCATGTAGCTTTCTATATGAAATTATTACTTTACCGTACAATTATCTATTAATTTATAAATACAAATCAATTAAAAAAGTAAGAGAAAGGCTCATTTGCTATTTTGTTTATTCTCAAGCAGATAAAATGTAACTTAACAAGTTGATGTTACAGCTTATAAGCAATTTGTTATTATAAATACAAAATACAATGGTATTTTTATAACTACTTTAAATCTTTGCCGGCCTTAGACATTCGGCGCCCACGGGTAATGAAGTTATCTTCCCTCCCCTCCAAAAAAAAAAAAATTTATTTCTTAAGCTGTTTTATATCATATAATATTTGAATTTTATTTCATTCAACATTTCTCTAATACAGTTGCTTCATTGATAGGCTAAAGTTAGTTATTTTAATACGTTTGGTATTTGTTTTTTTAATTTTTAATAAGTGGCGAGCGCCCCTCGAGATCGGCCAGAACTCCCAAAATGCAGCCCTCCAGGTCGGCGCTCTGGGGCAATTGCTCCGGTTGCCCTACCCTAAGGCCGCCACTATTTTAAATAAATATAAAACATTAATTTTTTATCATTTATTTTTTAATCCTCACCTGTCACAGCCTGTAACAATAAGCGGATGTGATCTCTATTGATAGAATTGGCATGTCAGGCATGAGGGATGTCAGTACCCATCGGCACCCACTCAAAACTTGAAATAAAAGAAAAAGTTATTCCAGGAGATCCCTTAACCAGCTCTTTTTCATCATTTGTCGGGTGTTTTCTGACATTTGGCTCGTGGCCATGTTTTGTATAAGTATGTTGGTATGTTCGTGAAGTTTGGAATGGAATTTTTTATAGGATGTCCGGGTGTGGTCTTGTATCATCGGTATGTTTAAGTCTATATGTAATGTTTTGTTGATGCCGTATCAGGATGAGCGCGTGATGAGTCTTAAAGATTTTGATTGAAAAGTCTGTATTTTTTTTAATTTGGGTCTTTTTTGCTATCCCGATTTGCAATGGATAAGTCCATATGGGTTTTAGTAAGTGAGTGTAAGCATTTAGTTTTTGTCTCATTTTTAAATTAGATCGTTTCTGTAAGAGAGAATACAAAAGCCTTAGTCGATTATTTAAGGTAAGGCATTTTTTTTTTTAATTTGTGGTCCCCAGGTCATCCTACTGTCGACCGTGACTCCTAAGTAATGAATTGTGTTAGTCTATTGTATGGGGAAATTGTTTATATAAACTGGTGGACAGGTGTCATATCGGAGCGTGAAGATGATATGCTCAGATTTATCACTGTTCAGCTTAATTTTACATTTTTTTAAAATTCCTGTAATATTTGTAAATAATGTTATACGGTCAACGATGCTTGTTTGGTGTCAACAACATGTCTGGTGAGAATAGCAGTGTCATCAGCATAGGCTGCAATTAATGTGTAAGGGTATTTGGGTATATCATTTGTGTATACAATATACAGTAAAGGTGCAAGAATCGATCTCTGCGGAACTCCGGCCATTACTGGATATATAGAAGAGGTTTCCGATCCCTGTCGGACAAAGAAAAATCTATTTGAAAGGAAGGAGAGAAGAGTGACGTAATAGGTAGAAGGAAGAAATGATTTAAGTTTGTAGAGCAGTCTATCGTGCCAGACTGTCGAATGCTGGAGCAATGTCCAGAAATACGCCAGTAGAGTATAATCTATCTTCTAGTACAATTGAAATGTAGTCCTTGACTCTGTGAAGTTGATGTGTGGTTGAATATAGTGAATGGAATCCGAATTAGAGTGTTAGACTTTGATCCTCTGTTAATATGTTGATTGTGCGTCTGTATAATAATTTTTCAAAAATTTTAGATTAAAATCGGAAGTAGACTAATGGGTCTGTAGGAAGAAGGGCTATAGGGATTTTTGTTCGGTTTTTGTATCATTACTATTTGTGAAAACTTCCATTACAATAGGAATTTTGTTGTCCATAGTATAGGGCGTTGAATAGGGTTGTTAGACATACTATTGCTGTTCTGGGATATGTTGGAGTAGCTCAGTAGTGATCAGACTATGTCCTGGGGCTTTTCTTTTGGGTAACTTTCGAATCACTGTTAGTACTTCAGACGGAGTGAAAGCCGGAGGAGGTAAATTTAGTGGTAAGAATTTTGTATATTACTTTCATGTTTATTATCTGAGTAGTCTATATGTGGTGTGAAGACAGTCGATAGATGGTCAGGAAAGAATTCAGCTTTTTCATAAATATAAAACATATAATAAAATAATAGAACTATTAAAAAATAATAATAATAAGGTTTACAATTCTAAATTAATGGAACTTTTTTTTACGATTTTTTTGTAAATATGACATTCTTGTCATGAGTAATCCTACGTTGTGTTTTTTTCCAAAAGTTTTTTGTCTTGGTTTTAATTTCTGTAATATTCTCTATAATATTATTGAATCCTATTGTGTCATCCTAAACTTTGTTAAAACAGATCAGATGCCTTTGCGAACTTGTTAAGACTAATGGGATCTATCGATTCACAGAGCTTAGTCTGTGATACGATCACTTCCAAAGTGAAAATACCACAGTTTGATCAAATTATCACACATATAATTTGATAAGCGGTCTCATGCTCCAGGCCTTACAGTCTGCAGGTGTGGGTCTCAATTAAGTTCAAGTTAAAAAGGTGCTTATAGAGTCGACAGCTACCAGTGTCTAGTCCTATAACACACCTAATGGTGCACATTATCCCATAGATTATGAAATGTCTAAAAGCACCTTAAGTCTCACCGTTTTTAATTTTGTTATGTTTGATTTAGTGATTTTTAATTATGTTATTTTTATTTTGTTCTCGATATTCTAATAACTTGAAGTAATAACATTAATTTTGTTTTCGATAAGTTGGATTAACTAATCTTTTTTTAATAGTTCAGATATGTTTAACCAAGACATAGGAAACATGTTTTTTAAGACGATGTTAAAGGCTTGTACGATTGGATACAAATATTGAATTGTTAAGTATTGTAATGTAAAATATTTGTAAATATGAGAAATATTATAAAGAATCTCATATTTTTATAGTAACTTATACTTTTTTTACTTATATAGAATTTTGTAAATTTGAAAACTACATGTTGAGATGTTAGGCGTAACGAGGGGCGTGGCTTTAACTTCGCATTCTTCCATTTAAGTTGGATGAATTACTTGTATTATATGTATAGAAAGATTTCTACTTCATTTGTTTACTTTGTCTGCAAGTTGATAACTGTCATTTGGTCAAATCATAAAAACTGTAAATTAATAAGGTAAATCGTAAAATAAAAGAAGTTTACTATTAACTTGTGTATAGTTCGTTGAAAATTCGAGTGACAATTTAGTTCTTTCTTTGTTGTGGTAATGTGATATTATCCAATTAATTTTTTATATGAGTTGTTTCATTTATAAAACTAAAGATATTTACGTTATTATTTTTGATTTTCATATTTATTTGAATACTTCCATGTTAAAATTATAAGCATTTATGCAGGTTCTTTTTATAGAAAGAAACACTGCAATGTATTATATGAATCATCAGGATTAATCATTTGGACTATTGTTTTTGATAACAATTTTTATTTGTTCAACAGATATCTAAAATGAACAGCTATTTGAAAACATGATTTTAAGTTTTGCCTTATTTAATATCAGCGTTTGATCTCTTATTTCCATTATTGTAGTTTTGTAAATATTCAATTTTATGAATTAAATATGATTTATATAAGTATGAACTATGCATTTTATTTAATTTGTTTAATCCTTAACACTTTATCTTGTCTTTGATGTTGAGTAGTTAAATGCCATACATTTAAGGTAGATTTGTGTTATCTTTAATTAAATAGTTTAAACCAAGGTGGGAAACATATTATCAACTTCAAATTATTTTTTCATTTTTTTTCCTTTTAAACTTGTGTGTGCTATGATGCAAAAATATTTAATAACTTTTTTAGGGTGTATGAATAATAAGCGTGGAACCTATTGTGGCATTGTGCTTTCTATTTACTTTGAAGTAGTAATGGATGATAGATTACATTTTGTTAAAGTAGACCAATAAGTAGATATATTTAGTGATTATGGTACCTGTTAAATATTTAAAAATTATTTTATTTGATTATTTAAAATCACTTTTACACTTATTTATTTATCAGGTTCATTTGATGGGTGGATCTGGTATGAATTTCATGCAGCGCCCTGCTCGAGGTTGGTTACATGAAGATGACATTATTAGAACGACTGGAGTTATTTATAATGTCCGGGTAATTTTTTATTTTTATCATTGTTTCATATTTATTCTCTTTATTTTAAGTGTTGACTTTCATTTACCAATTTTTTTCTTCTTATAATCTATATTTTTTAACTAATAAAAATATTAGTTATGTTCCTATTCAAGCTTATATTATTTGGTACTACTTCACATGTGTCACTCCAATTTGCAATGGACAACAAAATCACATGATGAGGCTATTAATCAATTCAAAAAATACTGATAGTCAATATTGATAGTATTGACTTCCAGGTTTACTTGTCTATCTTTCCTTTATTTCGATTTATTCTAACTCAAATGGTATAAAAAAACACCCAATCGGGCCTTACATTTGAAATTTGGGACCTTGATTCAGTTTAGTTTGATTACAACTTTGAGTTCTTACATCACTAAACAGATGTACTAAGCTCCAACGGGGCGTTTTCAGTTAAGGTTGGTGCCCTACCAAGGGGATCGGTTGCCTGTGTCTATTTTCAGACATGCTCAACCATTTTTGGAATTTCATAAATAGTTCTTGTGCCCATCTCTCATGACAGTGATTATTATGAAGTCGTATCATGAGTCGGTTGATTCATGGTACTCATCCCATGTGTTACCACATCATCTTTACCTTTTATATATTGAATATCAGTAGTATATTCAGCTTATATAATGTAATTGTCTTGTTTGGTTTGAAGAAGTCCTATTGAAGTCATATTTATAAGCGAAAACATGAGGCTTGTGATCAGTGAAAACCTGTTCATGTGTACTTTTTCAAAGGTGTGTGATAAAGCTTTACCTGACCAATAGGATGACATCTATATAGAGAATATCTATGAGTGCAACATAATTTACCCACTATTTTTCATTTTTGCTAGTTTTTTTTTGGGGGGGGGGGCTGGGAGGTGAGAGGGAGGAGGAGATAGATTATTATCATTGCAAATAATTTACATCATAGAAATGTGTTATCTCTAGTTTATTCAGGAATGTGATGCCCAAGTATTGTGTGTGTTCATGTGGGTCTGTTTCTATCTAATGGGGTTAAACCCAGCCTTTTCTTACTTTATCTACTCCTCAACTATTTGTCTTTGTCTTCTTATCTAAATTAATTTTGTTTAAAATTGAAAGGAGACTGATCAGGCTATATTTTTTGTGATATGTTAAGCTGAATTTGGAATGATTGTATTAAAGTTTCATTCCTGTGGTACTCTTCTGGAATCCCATATTTATTTGAAAAGCCCTTGAAGGGTTATCAGCAGTGCTTCACCATAATATTTGATCAATTCCAGGGTAATGTGATCCCTTCCTGCATTTTGTATTACCTTATAGAGGTAGATTCATAATAAAGCTTTACCTGACCAATAGGATGACATCTATATAGAGAATATCTATGAGTGCAACATAATTTACCCACTATTTTTCATTTTTGCTAGTTTTTTTTGGGGGGGCTGGGAGGTGAGAGGGAGGACGAGATAGATCATTATCATTGCAAATAATTTACATCATAGAAATGTGTTATCTCTAGTTTATTCAGGAATGTGATGCCCAAGTATTGTGTTGGCTAGAATATCCAAGTTTCTTTTGTAAGAAACAACAGCCTATCACATGGCGATTATCTCTTCTGTCTTTCGATAGCAGGAGAACCTCATATTAAGCCTTGTTTGTTGTTAATAAACACGTTTAAATTAATCACTTTTAATGTGAATCAATACTATCTGAATAAAAAAAGTTTTGTAGATAATGTCCTGTATGTATTGGAAAAACAATATCATTTACTTTCAGATAGTTCTCAGTTTCTAGTTAATTAAAAACATTACAATATTTTATTTTTATATTAACATAAAAAAAACACACACAAAAAACGTGTGATTTTAACAACAGATTTGACTGTATTTAATCTTTATTGAGATATCAAAAATTTCATACGGGAAGAGCTACGACCATACTACGTTAGGAAAAAAATAGAATGGTGATAAATAGGCTTATTTTCATAGATGTGTTGTTGTAGTCCTGTTTTAATATAATAAATCTGTTAAGGATTAGAAAATACTTGAATAAAAAATACATCCTTAAGTACCTTAAAAAAAATTCATATAATTGTTTATATGAAATTATTTAATTATTTTAAAAAAATATTTACTATAATATAGTGGTATTGGTGATTTCTAGTATATGGGATGTCTTGAAGTTCTTGCATCAATGAAAATGTTGGACTATGACACCAGATTCTTAGTAGCAAAGTAAGATCTTTATTTATATTTATACCTAATTATTTGTTCATAGCTATTTAATTGAGTTAATTAAATAAATAACTTATTATAAACTTTGGCCAAAAACAAGCTAATCTGATTTAAGAGAAACAAAATAGTTTAGTACATTTATGAAGAAACTTGACATTTTCAACCACATGAGCATGCAGGGAAAAATTTCCACGACCTGAATAAGATTTGACTAAAAAAAAATAAAGACAAAGTTTTTTGAACAAATAACTATAATATAGAAATAATTTCAGTCTTCAATAAAAAAAATCTATTTTATCATACTTTAGTATGATATCAGTGATGCCTACCAGATTTAATAAATATGTTTGTTATTAATAGTTTCAAAGTAATTTCTGCTGAGTTTGGCCAGCAAGAACATTGAATTTTGACTCGATCATTCAAACTCATAGAAAAGAAGGCCAAATGATTATTGTGAAAAAGTTATTTTTAAATGAAAAATATTTCAAACAATACATAAAATAAAATTCAAGATTAATTAAAATTTGGCTAAGTAGCTGTATGAAGTTATTTAGAGGTAGAAGGCTTTTCCCTCCTTGAATATAATCTCCTCTCCTAAAGCTCTACCCTTGAGGTTCTCCCTTAAGTTGTTTGATTAGACAGCATTATTAGTAGATATGTTATTAAAACTCAGTTATATAAGTTATTTTAATAACAGTATTTTTGTTGAATTATAAAGCTTTCATTAACCTGATCATTTAAACAAGTTTATAATGTATTATTGCATTTTATTTGTTTGATTTTTCAATTGAATATTTATTTTGGATATAGAAAATCCAGAACATGTTGATGTTTTTAACACTATGATTTCATATAATCAAATTGTGTTTTATTTTTCAAATAATATGTTTTGATGGTTGATTTCTTAAATATTTTTATTGGTTTTCTATTTTTTTTTTTTTTTTAGGGAATGTATCAACAAAGTATGTGAAGCACTTGGATTAAAACCTGTTAATGTACGAAGAAAGGTAAGTGTTAAAAATAATATATATATATATATATATATAAACAGGTGGTCAAAAAACCTGGCATAACTTGAATTTTACATAAAAACTAAAGAATAAGAAATATTTGAGAGCCTGAAGTAATAACAGTTATATGACAGGGCAAAGGGGATTACCATACATAGTTGTTTTGAGAAAATCTCATGATTTTCTTTAGGCTTAGCGATAAAAGCATTAAAATAAATCGTGGACTTCATATCAGTTTATCACCAGTTGCCTATTCAATTGCATTGGTATTGCTTTTGTACTGTTTTTTTTCTTGAAAACAATATTTTATTTGTATCAAACATTTTTAAGTGTCTAAAACGGTTTTGGATCCCACGGCTGTCGCTCAGATCATTGTGATCATTGTTGAGAATGGCCGAAGTCAGCAATATACGGCCTGAGTCCTTGGGGTGCCTGAAACAACGATATTCTAGGAGGCCATGATCAGGCCATCTAAGAGCAACAAGTCAAGTAAGAGCTCTCTTAGGTACATTTCATGAACAGTCTGATTGGGAAAGGAGTAGGTGTTTAAAGAAGAGAGATTTGAAAGAGGAAACTGATTGTACATGTATATCAGGAGGGATAGAATTCCAGAGGAAGACGTCTTGAATTACAAAGGATTTGTCAAGCATAGCTGATTAATGAGGAGGAGGATAGAGGTCGGAAGTATGGGATTTAGTAGGACCGGATTGAATGGAGTATTTAAATTGTAGGCTGTGAAAAATATAGGAGGGTCACCGAGTTCTGATGACCAGGTGAAGCCACTTCAACTAGGTGTAATACTGGGTTATATGCTTATCTCTTGAGATTCTGAAAGCAAAATGTATTGTGCAATTTATTATGCGTTTAAGTCTGGCTTCGTATTTTCCCGAGGGTCTGCCATACACCACTCAGCCATAGTCAAAGTAGGAGAATACTAGAGAGGAAACCAGGAGTTGATGGGACTTGTATGGAAGGAGGTAACGCAGATGGTTGAACTGTTTCAGAGTAGAGATAGTGTGACAGGAAATTTGGGAGAAGTGTGGTTTCCAGGAGAGGGTTTGTTCAAAAGTAACACCAAGGTTTTTTTACGAAAGTATGGAATAAAATAGGTGAGTTGTTCAGGAGTGGATTGGGGATTGTCGGTAAAGATTTCAGAAGTGAGGGAGATCTGATTAGGATGGCTTTCGTTTTCTTGCCGTCTAGAGTGATCCGATTGTGGTTTGCTCAAGCACAAATTCTGTTTATGTCTTCCTTTAGTTTTTGAATGACACCAGAGGAATCGGTTGGAATGAAGGAGAGATAAATCTGGACGACATCGGCATACAGATGGCATTGATAGTGAAGGACAGAGGATGGGAAGTCATTGATGTAGATGGAAAAAAAGAGTGGGAGATAAGGAGGAGCCTTGAGGGATGCCTCTGGACAAGGCTAAAGATTCTGATGGGAGGTTATTAGAGACTAAAACATACTGAGAGCGACTTGTAATGAAGGATTGGAACCAATTAAGTTCACTAGTAGAAGGGCAGATTGAGTGAAGTAGCCAGGCTGGAAACTAGACTGGTTGTGATTTAAGAGATTATTCCGTTCTAAAAAGTGGGATAACTGGGTTTGAACTAGTCACTCTAAAGGTTTGAGAGAAGAGACATTGGATGGAAATCATTAAGAGTTGATGGGTTCGAAGTCTTCTTCAAGGGCTAACTAGTGCAATTTGCAATTGTAAGGCGAACTAGTGCAATTTTCCAGGACATAAGGAAGGTAGCGTTTTTTGTAGTGAGTAATTGTTGATAAGGTAGAGGATTGGAAGAATGGATGGTAGAGAAGCTTTAAGCAGTCAGACTGGGATGTTTTCGGATCCATAATCATTGGTATAAGATTTATGAATGCAGTTAAGGAGGGTTTGTCAACGGTTATACACGTACTATATTGGTGTAATATTTATTTATAGCCTACTTGTCAATCTACGGCATAAGCTATAAATAAATATTATACCAACATGGTATGTTTGTGATTATTGATTGCACACCTAGACTATTTTTAAAATATAATAATTATTGCCTTTAGAATTCTTTCATTTGTAAGATTTGTTATTTTTAGAGAATTTCTTATTATTATATGTTAACAAAATATTTCATATTTTTTTTAAATCAAATTAATTGGATGGAAAGATTGCTATTTATTTTTATATAAATATATTTTACAGGTTGAAAAAAGAGTTTCTAAATCTTTAGGTGTGAAAGTTAAGATGGACCATGCTGGAACAAATGTAAAATTAAATATTTCTGCCAAGTCAATTTCGCTTCATACAGTTGAAGGTAACCATCAAGTTACAAATCATGGAATGCCGAAAATCTCTTTTGCATCTGGCGGTGATTCTGTGAGTAATAGTTATAGCATAAGTGTTCTTTGTTTTTTTGACACATTGTTTTTTTTTCCTAAACAATTTCAGTATTAATCAAACAAAGATAATAAAAGAGTAAATAATATTTGAAATTCCTACTAATAACTAGTTTGAATATAGAATAGGTTCTTCTAGTTTATACTATAGTATTAAATAAACACAATTAAATAATACTATAGTATTAACCAATTATTTTGATTTTTTATTAGTTGAAAATTAATACATTCTGCCGCATTGGAGGGCATTAATATTAGGGCTACATTAGACATTCATACAATATGTTCTTACAAATGATAACTAAAATAGAGATAATAAAAAAAAAGAATTGTAGAAAATAAAATAAGAAAATTAACATACATGCTTCTCTCCCAGCTGCTTCACTCGTATTGGAAGCCAGTGGAGACGGATGGAGGGCACTAGAGCAACGGAAGCTCAGGACTTGAGTGGAGAATCTGGCCATTGTCAGTATTCCAATATATACATGTTTACAAAAGTTCACGGGGCCACTGCCATTTTAACCTCCAGGGAGGATTGTAGGCATGGCTGGAGCTAGATAGGGATTGTGCTACAGGATTTGGATGATGAGTGAATTTCTGGTAAAATTAAGGAAATCTGCCTTTGTGTCTGATAGATATTTAATTATTTGGCGGTATGTATCAGCTGTCCCTGGGAATATTTTAATATCGTTCGGCCTCCATTTTAAGATTAGGCCACCGCGTTTCGATTTCTTTGAGTTTTTTCATATGAGGGTGTATTCTTATGTTTCCGGAGCGGTAAATTTTGAAAATGACCTCCATTTTAATATTACGCCACCGCGTTTCGACTTATTCAAGTTTTTCGAATTTATCCAATTTAAAGGTCTACTTTTATGATGCCGAAGCCTTAGTTTTTAAAACGACTTACATTTTAAGATTAGGCCACTGTGTTTCGATTTTTTAAAGTGTTTTTGATTTTTCCTTCGAATAAAAAACAAAATACGAAGGATTAATTTATTTTTCAATAAATAAATAAAAATATCTAATCGAAATAAATAAAATATGTATTGTCTCATTTTAATTTAATTTTAGTTATCTTTTTTAATGTTGTGGTCTCCTGTAACAAAATTATAAGATTTCGAACAATTAGCTGAAAAATCTGAATACGGTAGGTTAAATTTATTACCAGTTGCTTTTCGGCTTTTTAGTTTGTATTCTGTGGTTAATTTAACTTTAGCTTCATAATATTTATTTATTTATTTATTCATACTCGAAAACATATTGATGAAACTTTGTATTAAAAAAATCCAAAATGAAGCCTAATTAATCGAGATGCAGCGGCTTAATCATAAAATGGAGATTAAAAGTTAAACATTAGAAAAATTTCAATACGTCTCCGATAACATATAAGTAGATCCTTATACCGAAAAAGTAAAAAAAAAACTTTTATAATCCAAAACACAGTGGCATTAACTTGAAATGGGGTCATTTACAAAATCGGGGAAATCTACTTCTCCAGAAACATAAAAGTAGACCTTTATTTTTGATAAATTCGAAAAACTTAAATAAGTTGAAACGCAGTGGCGTAATCATAAAATAGAGGTCATTTTCAGAATCTATTGTTCCAAAAACATAAAAGTAGACCTTTAAATTGGATATATTCGAAAAACTTAAATAAGTCAAAATACAATGGTGTAATCATGAAATAGTTAACAGGCAGAGAAGTAATCATAAAATGGAGGTCATTTTCAAAATCTACGGCTCAAGAAACATAAAAATAGACCTTTATATTGGATAAATTCGAAAAACTTAAATAAGTCAAAACGCAGCGGCGTAATCATAAAATGGAGGTCATTTTCAAAATCTACAGCTCCGGAAACATAACAATAGACCCTTACATCGAATAAACCAAAAAAACTTAAATAAGTCGAAACGCAGTGGCGTAATCTTAAAATGGAAGTCGTTTTCATAATCTACGGCTCCGGAAACATAAAAGTAGACCTTTATATTGGATAAATTCTAAAAACTTAAATAAGTCAAAACACAGTGGCGTAAACATAAAATGGATGTCATTTTCAAAATTTACGGATCGGGAAACAAAAATACACCCTTACATCGAATAAATAAAAAAAAACTTAAATAATTCGAAACGCAGTCAGGTAATCTTAAAATGGAGGTTATTTTCAAAAATTACTCATACGATAACAGACCCACACATCGAAAAATTAAAGATAATTAAATAAATAAAAAAAGGTTGAATTTGAAATGAAAGTTAATTGAAATGGAAAAGGTTGAATTTGACTTGGAAAAAGTTTAATTTGATTTGGAAACGGTTGAATTTGACTTGGTAAAGGTTGAAATCAACTTGGAAATGCTATATAAGGATGCAGGAACCGGCACGGGAAGTGTTGTTTGGGTGGTCAGATCTATAAGTGATGTAGTCAAGTATGTAGAAATGTGTCTGTTGAGTGAAGTGAGTTTCTGTAAGAAGGGCAATATCAAAGTGATTATCATGGAGAAATATGTCTAGTTCATCTCGGTGGTTAAGTAGTCCATTAGTGTTCCATAAAGGGATAGCTAGAGGCTTTGTGTTCATTGAGGGATGTTGAACGGGATTTCGGAAAGGAGTCTAGTGTGGAGGGTAATGAGTGGTTTGATAGTCTTTTGAAGATCTGTCAGGAAAAAATATGTCTGAAATCAATTATTGTTATTTATATATTTTTAAATGTTTTCAATCTCCTTTTCAGTTATGTTTAATTCATTTATGATGTGTTATTTATTTTTCATAAAGACATTTATTGCAGGAAACTCCGGATTTTGTTGCTTATGTTGCCAAAGATGATCATGATTTCAGGGCTTGTTATGTTTTGGAATGTAGTCGTGGAATGGCACAAGATGTTATTACTACTATTGGTCAAGCATTCAACCTGAGATTTAAAGATTATTTTACCAATAGCTCTGATTTGATGTGGTTTGTATAATTATTTATTCCAACTTTGATTTTACTGATCTCTAGTTGTTTGTTTAACATTGTTTATTCCTAAGTACTTCAATGATCCTTTGATATAAATTTTGTGAAAAATATTGGCAGAAATACATTTATATATATTTTTATACTTACTTCTTTTGTTTGGTTTGTTAGTGAAAAATAATGTTTTCATGTTCTTTATAATAATAAGATGTGTTCAAGAAACTCAAATTATTTTGGATACTTAATAGTTGACCGTTGCATTATTAAGAAAGGAGATGGTCCGGGGTGGCAGTCATAAATAGACTAAATAGTGGCAAAACTATTTTATTAAAAGCCAACGTTTCGACCCGACTTTGCAGGTCTTCTTCAAGGCTAGAACGGACAAGATACAAAAAGATATAGAGAATTGTGGAAGTTACATGATATTTAGATAAAAAATTATAACCAATGTGAAAAACTTATTAAAATTATAAACATTAAGTACATTAAAATATTAAGAACAATAAAGGAAGGAGATGGTCGGGGGTTGCAGTCATAAATAGGCTAAATAGTGGTAAAACTATTTTATTGAAAGCCGACGTTTCGACCCGACTTTGCAGGTCTTCTTCAAGGCTAGAACGAACAAGATACAAAAAGATATAGAGAATTGTGGAAGTTACATCATATTTAGATAAAAAATTATAATTAATGTGAATAAACTTATTAAAATTATAAACAGTAAGTACATTAAAATATTAAGAACAATAAAGGAAGGAGATGGTCGGGGGTTGCGGTCATAAATAGGCTAAATAGTGGTAAAACTATTTTATTGAAAGCCGACGTTTCGACCCTACTTTGCAGGTCTTCATCAGGGAGGTGTGTTCATCTAGGAGTTTCACTTAAAACCCCTTCCTTAGAACCCCACTTAGTAGTTCTAAGTGAAACTCCTAGATGAACACACCTCCCTGATGAAGACCTGCAAAGTAGGGTCGAAACGACTGACCGCAACCCCGGACCATCTCCTTCCTTTATAATGCAACGGTCTACTATTAAATATTCAATTAAGAACAATAAGTTGTATAAACAAAGTAAGCTAAGTAACAAGATCCTAAACTGAATTAAATAGATGGTAACAATTGTTGTAGTATAATGTATGCAATATAACTTCCGCAATTCTCTATATCTTTTTGTATCTTGTCCATTCTAGCCCTGACGAAGACCTGCAAAGTCAGGAAACTTTGGCTTTTAATAAAGTAGTTTTGCCACTATTTACTCTATTTATGACCGCCAACCCATACTATCTCCTTTCAAATTTTTTTTTTTTTTTTTTTTTTTTTACTTGGTAAAATCTAATACCACAATTCATATTATTGTTCATTTAAGTAATTATTCCTTTGTCCTTTTTCTAATACCATTTATAACATGAGTTCAAGAAGTTTCTCAAACTCTTCCCTCAGTGGGTTCCTCCACTTCTCACTATCCATCGTTTCCTCCTCTGTCAGCCCTCTAGCCACCATACTCTTAGCTACATCTCACCACCTGACATGAGGTCTTTCTTTCCTTTGCCTACCCTCGGCCTCCCACTCAAATGTCATTTTGGGAAGTCGTTCACTATTCATCCTTTTCATATGCCCATACCACTTTAATCTTATTTCATCCATTATTTCTAGTATATTATTCTTTTTTTTTTTTATTATCTATGATATTTAAAACTGTATTAGAAATAAAAATACATTCAGTAAATGTGAACAAAATACGTTCAGTGAATGTGAAAGAATATAATAACATGAAACCACCTGTTGAGAAACTACCCACTGGTAGCACTCTAAAAATGTATTTACAACAGGAGATCTCGAGACCATCTTCTTTTCAGAAGCCTCGGAGGGTTATCAGGGATCGAGAAGGATGCAAGATTAAAAACGAAAGAGTTTGGATGGTTCTGAAATTTGTTATAGAAGGATAAGTATCTGGATTGGGCCAGGTTAGAAACTTATGGAACATTAAGGTCTTTATGGATGATTTTATTTGTGACAAAGTAAGGAGCATTGAGGATTTTACGAAGGATTTTTTATTGTAAGGATGGGATACAAGATGAATGAAGAGCTTAGTGGAGCTCCAAAGCTCATCTCCATAAATCTAAATAGGTCTCATTTTAGTCATGTATATGAGTCTTTTGTAATTAACTGGAAACTTAGAGTGTTTGTCTATTAAGTGCTGGAGTAGTCAGAAACGTCGAGCGATTTCTTGTTGTTTCAGTCTGGTATGAGGATTCCAAGTTAGATGTTTGTCCAAGTGGAGTCCAAGGTATCGGCTTTGTTCAACAGGGATAAGCGGGGTATTAGTCTTGTGAAAATGTCATTGAATTGCTCCTAAATAAAAATACTGAGGAGAAAAATGTCCCATTGATTGTGGAAAAAATAGGAGAGCAGGTTGATGCTGAAGGCTTATCCACGTATGGAGGACGAGGAATAGTTTTTACATGCAGGCTACCAACCTGATACTGTACACATTGATTGCTGCAGTGTCAGGTATGAACCTTTTTCAGTGGTTGACATTTATTTTCTCAAAATTAATTCCCCCTTTACTGTAATATTAACATGCTATAATGTATCTTTATACTATTACTTATTACATGATTTCAATTAAATAAACGCATAACAAACTGCATTCGATGTCAGCCTCAGAATCAGGAACTAATAGGAAATGATTATACTATCCTTTTTCCTTATACTTTCAAAGTATATCTATCTTATACTATTCTCTCTAGTATTCATATTTAATGGAGTTTTAGCTTAAGATGTGGGAAAGAATAGGTATTATTTGTCTCTATCATTCATAGAAACCTAAAGACCTAAATAACGACATGTGATAAGTATCTCATGGAAATTGTGGTACCTGGGGGACTATTGCTATATTTAGGGTGTGCCCATGCTTATATCAAAAATGGTTAATTTTAGGGCTTTAAACGCCCCATGTATTTTATAGGAGTGTCTTAAACTGAATCTTGATGTCAGCATCCCCTCTCTTCTCTATTTATCATTTTATAGTAAAATATTTTATTTTGTTTTAGTGGAAATATTTCCTCGAAAACTGCTATTACTTCCCGTGATGTTGATCGAGAATATTATAATGATCTTCCTGGTAAAGTGCCACCTGATGTCGGTGCTGTTTTAGGGAATATTTCTTCTACTACTCAATCCTTGCCTAAAGCATCAAATAATAAACCAGCTTCACATAGAGGTAAGTGGGCCTTAGATATTTTATTTGATTGTTTAAAATTGATTGTATCTTTTAAATCATTTAATTATTGTTCTTTTATACAGGTAGACATATGGATATGATACTTACTATAATAAAAATACTATAAGTATTTTTAATTTGACTGTTAATCTTTCATTTTAATTAAACAAATATTCCTCTGTTAGGTATCTGCTATTTTCAAGAAACTACATGCTTCTAAATTATAATAGAATAAAAACTATTAAGATTACTTCTTCTGTGATTTTTAAGTGTCAAAATTCTCTGGTAATTCACTATTTATTTATTTTTGAAGGAATGATAATATCTTATATTTGAATGGTTTTCAGTGTATTCTTGTTTTTTAATTACATATTGTTTTTATTTACATATTAATAAGGCTGGAAATATTCAATCAGTGAATGAAATTGTTTATCCAGTGTCTATTGCATATATATGGTACAATGCTTCTAGAAAACATGGTTTCAACAGGTTGCTATTTCCTAAGATTTTTTTTTTAAAATTTACAGTTGACCTTCATTATAAAACAGGTCTGGAAAATAAATTTACTCACGTTATAGTAGAGGTACTCTCATTATAGGAAAGACAAAGATGTGTGAGTTTTTTTATGCGTAGAAACTAGTTTATTCATTTTTAGATTAATCAGGAATTGGGACCAAATCTAAAACCATATTATTTCCAAACAGGTGGTTTAGCAAGAGTAGATTTTATTATTAAATTTCCCTAGTGGATGATGATGGTAAATTAACCTGTTAACCGGGGAATTCCCTTTTTAATTATGTAGCATATAACGGGCACGAACTCTTTCACTAGGACATGTCAGTATGTCATGTCTGGAAGACGTAATTTCATATTATTAATTTTTTATATTCATGATTAAAATAAATGAAAAGACAAATTTTTTAGCCTAATAGCTTTGTTCTTCAAAAATATACGTCCCGCCTGTTCCAGGATGCAACATACATTTCAAGAGCGTATTCATATGTTCTACCTGTACCCGATATTGTTTACATTTGAAGTATTTATACATCCAGCTCAGTTAACAGGTTAATTAATGTGAATAAAATTGATGATTGGTTTGTTAGGAAGGAGAGAATAAAATCCCTTCTGACTTGATATTAAAGAAAGAGTTTCTGGTGTTGTGAAAACAGATACGAAAACATAAGTAGAAGAGTAAGAAGTTTTTTATTGTTTAACTTCTTAAAATGAATCCAAAGTTGTCTCCTCATGTGCTCCAGTAAGTTATTCATCATCCACTTTTTAATCTCCCACTGTTGTTCTGTGGATTTTTCCTATATATCATAGTTTTCCAGCTAAAGTATTTGATGTTAGAGACCATTATGGGATCTTGTTGCACCCTTCTATTGTTTAGCTTATATTTTGTTGCCCTCCCAGCTTAGTTCATTTTTTTCCCTAACTCAGTTTCTCCTAAATTATTGAAATTAATTATCCCCTAAAACCTGTACCTTCCAACTCAAATTCACCATTTCTTCCCACAGCCTTGCCATCGAACACAAATAATTTTTTTGTGATTAAAAGATGAATATTGAGAAACAACTTATTTCTTTCAAGAATATTTATGATATGATGGTTTGGCAGAAGGAGTTATTCAAAAATCTAAAATCGAAATGTAAGTATGTGCACAGAGGCCACAATAAGGACATGATCTTAGCTAAAGCTCTAGTTATTGCCCACTTAATTAAATTCACAAAATGCTGGTCTATCATGAATAAGTTATATTAAAGTTGAAGAAAAACAAACATAGAAATTAATCATTTTGTTAAAAAGCATCTGATTAGTCTTCTTTCTAATTATTTATATAAATATTTGTATTTTTTATACATCTCATTATTCACTATAGATTTTTAAATATGTTCATTAATACTTGGTAACTTCTTAATGTGTAAAAATATCTTACAAAATTAATAAAATTATTTTGATACAAACACGTATATAGTCATTTTTAGTAAGCAAATAACTCTTCTAAATGGACACTTTCCTGCAATATAGATATATATTGAATATAGTGGTCATTAGTACGATTTTCCCGCAATGAACATCCATAAATATACCTGGGTAAGCCCTTAAAGCACAAAATGCTTTAGTCTACATGCTGATTTATTGATAAGAGACATCAGAACTCCATTTAAGATATAATAAACCATTGTGGAGCAGACTATGATTTAGATACTCTGATTGGAATAAAACTTTGTTAGAATCTTTAGAAAATCCATAAAATAGAGAACCAAGTGGAAAGAACAAGGTCCATAATCCAAAAAAAAAAAAAAAAAAACTGAATTAAAATCCAACTTGAGTTGAAGAATAAATTTGAACCCTTGGATTCAGAGAACCTCTCGTTTGACCAAAACAAGAGTGTTTTAAGAGTTAAGGCAAAAAAAAAAAAAAATAAAATAAAGAAAGGAAGGGATAAACATTCAAGAGTAACAGAGGCAGTAGAGAAAAGAAAAAATATATATTTCCTCTGACTGCTGACTGTTGAAAACTGATCATACTACCGAGTTGGAAACAATTGCCAGAAAAAGAAATAAGTGATTAGCATAGCAAAAAGAAAAGCCCTCTAAGAAAGCTTACTATAGTTGTGAAATGAGCTTTGTATGAGAAAAAACTCATGGAATAAAAGTTGTAGTAACCTTGTTTTAGAGTAATTTAGTAAGTTTTCTATTTTGTAAATAATTTTAAAAGTTTAACCATGTAATAAAAAAAATTTCATTGGTTTTGTTTGGAGATCCCTGCCCTAAGGTGTAGCACTAGTACTTATTACACAGATCTCAATTAAGGGAATAAACAAAAAATTGTTAAAAAATAATTTTACAAAACTAAAAAATTGCGTAATTTAATTCCTTTTACTTTATATGTGCTATTTTTATATATGCTACTTTATAAATATATTTTTATATCAGAAACATGGAAATATGACTAGTGGTATTTTTGGTCTCGATTCCTAATTTGATCAGCTTTTGTGACCATTGCGCAAAATAAAATTCTATATTTCCATCTTGATGCTCATAACTTGGTGATGCTAAAGTATAGTTTAGTAAGTTTTATCTACCACTGGTCATTTGACTCTCTACCATTATTTTGAATTTGAAATACAACAAAAGTTAAATTTGCCTCTTGAAACCATATTGAATTGGTGACTATTTTGTTTTATTTTTAAAATCAATAATCAATGTAAATAATAGTGTTAAAATTCTTGATAGAGAATTCCCATCTATATACCTTTAAATTTAAAATATGCTATTCTCATGGAGAGCAGATAATAGTTGGGATATTGATTGAATAATTGTAATGCCATCTATATTACTTTATTTTTTATAATGCCTGTTCTGATTTATCCTCGAGTAGGGTTCCTGCATTAATAGAAAACCCGAGTTTTTACTGTAGATATATTTTAGCATGCTTTTTAGTATTTCTATTATTAGCATTATTGTATTTCAGAACTTTAGTTTAGTTCATTACTTTAAATCAGAAGTTTAATAGGATAAGGAAATCTTACCATATTATTACAGGACCAGGAGTTTTCAAAAGTATGTTGTTTCTATCATTGTAACTGATATTGTCATGTATGATTCAAGTTAATGTGCAACCAAACATATACATACAGATAAAACATTCTATATGTATATACACATACATAAAACAGAATAGACTAAAAAAATATTTTTTTCTCGGACAAAATCCCTTAAGAATAACAAAATAATTGTATAGAAAAAAAGGATTACTATTAGCCGAAAAATCTGTTCTATTAAATAAACAAAAAACATCCAGTAAACTTACTATATATCAAATTTTGTGCAAACACTTAATGCTATTAATAAAACAAATAAAGAATAGTGAAATAATATATTCATTACTTAAGAAAAAAAATAATGTTAAGGAAAAATAAATTCAGTTCCTTTGATAAATGACCACAAAATACAAACCAAATAACCATAGGACACTAAAAAAAAAATTATGTCTGTCATTTAAAACATTTAAATATAAAATATTTAAATATGGGGGTTGGGTTAGCCTTGCGAGCTAAGGCGCTTGCAATAGGTAATCAAAGTTAAGCAATTCTGAGCTTGGCTAGCACTTGGATGGGTGACCGTCCAACAAGGAAAGCCATGCTGCCCGAGATTACTCCCCCTCCCCAACGGGTATGTGAGGCCTGTCAGCCTGCTGGAGGCAACTCACACCGACCGGGCATAGTATTTATGACCCTACCCCATACTTTAAATCGGGAATTGGGATGTGTTCGCGGTCAAAGATCTTCATGGTCTGTAGCACCAACCGAACAAAAAAAAAAAAAAAAAAATATATATATATATATATAACTTAAGTCCCGTTGTATTAAAAAAAGGGAAACGGGATGAGAAATGACATGCACGGTGTATAAACTAAGACTGCTTTATTGTTCTACCTAATCCTCTATATATAGTATTTAGGTATGTTAACATCTTAAGGATTGCATTAAATCTAGTACTGTCTCACTCTGATCCATAACTTATATATGTATATATATATATGAAATAATTATTCTTTTTGGGTATTAGGTTATATAATTAAAATTTAATAAACTACATTAATTTTGTAGTTTATTCGTTTTATTTGATGATTTTTTGATCCCTTCTTTTCTTATTCATACAATGGGATCCTCTTCAAAACTGGAAAAACAAATAGCCATCATTGTCACACTAATACAAGTTTCAATATGCTTAAATCAATAATTTCTAATCCTTCATATTATCTTATCGAGCATCGATACTCCAAGCCAGGGACATGCTGACAGCCTCAGCACTGTCTTCCAGTAGCAGAGCCAAAAGCCCAATAGAGACAAAATAATAGAAATATGCATTTATGACTAATACAACATCAATAACAATAGCATATACAAATCCTTCATTATAATTAAAATAATTCACATTATTAACAGCAAACAAATATATATTACTGAGCTAACCTTACATTGCTAAAACTTAGTAACTAAATAACAACAAATTAAAATATATATACATCAATACATCATATAAAATCATGTCAAAATTGTAAAAAAAAAATTCGAAACAATAACAGAAGAGCATAAACATAGTTCTCACGTGATAAATTGTATTTGAACTATCATTAAATCAATAAACATCCTTGAAATAAAAGTTGCAAGACTAATAAATCTAAATCTCATACACTAAAAATTCTGACTAAATTGTGCTAATTTTAAAATGTTACTGTATGCATAATTTAATTTTGCCAGGTCATTGCGAGTGTTAATTATGTCTTTGGTTCTGCCTATGTGCATCATTTCCAGAATCAACGTTTTTTGTTGATTCTTTTCAATGTCTAATATTTTAACCTAATCAAAATCCATTTTGTGTTTATTTCTAATTGCATGACAGGATTAAGCCATCTCTTCTTGCTTTCAATGCTATATTTATAATCATAGTCTTCTTGTGAGATACTTTGAGGTTTATCCTATATATTTACTGCCACAATCAGACCACTTTATTTTGTTAATAAAGTTTGACATTTTGCATATATTTACACAGGGTGTCTCGTAAGTAGAGGGAAATTTTGATAAGAGCAAACCTCAAGACATACAGAGGATCTAGTAAAAAGAAGACGGTATTAGGTCTGTAATTTGAAAAATTCTGAAGTAAAAACCAAATTCCAACTTGAGCTGAAAAATAAATTCAAACCCTTGGATCTTGATAGCCTCACGGTGGATCAACACTGCTAGAAACTAGAGAAAGAACTAAAAGAAACAGTCCTGTTTTTTCTGTTAAAAAAAACTGACTAAAAAAAAAGAAACAACAGAAATGATCGGTATTCAGAAGAAACGAAAAGCTAAGATATGGTTCACAGAAGCATCCGAAAAGGCAGTAGAGAAAAGAAGAAAAATGAATGTCCTCTGCCTAACTACAACAGATCAAGTTGTTCAGGACAAGTACACAGCTGCCAAGAAAAAGGCAAACAAAATTATAAGATCGGCAAAAATGGAATTCCTCAAAGAAAGGTTGCAAATCATTGAGGACAACTGGCAGGCTGGAGATATACTCGAATTCTACGCAGCCATTAGAAAAGAAAGGGTAGGATACAAAGCGAGAATTGCGCAAATGTGAGGAAAAGGCATTCTTATGGCATCTAAAGAAAGTACATTGAACATCTGGAAAGAACAACTATAAAATATAATTTACCATATAGATTATTTCATTGTAATTTTTAGTGTTAATTTAATTAAAATTTTATTTTAATGCAGTTTTATTAAATTTATTGTTTATTTGGTTTAATTTTAGAGGAGATATTATTGTAGTTGGTTATTGTTGGGATTCTTAGTTCCTTGAGCATTTATATGTTTGGGACAAGCCAAAAGGTGCACGAATTATATTTGTAAATTGTATTCCTGACTAATATTTCAGTTCTACAAGTATGCCCGTATTTTTTAACACATGTATGTACATAATCCCTGCTTCCCTCTATTTAATTTATTTTTCATGTATATATTTACCCTCACCCTCAATCTCTACATATTTCGTTCTTTATCTATCGTAAATTTTTTTATTTTAATACCTGCAAAATTGGTTTTTATAGTGTATAAATATAGTATAGTAGATTAACTAATATATTTTTGATTTTTGCTCATATAATTATACTTATTTCAATAAATTGAACTATCTTGATATTTTGACTCTTTTATTCTTAACTTTGTGATAACTTATTTTTCCTGCTTTAATCTTAATCATTATTTATTTTATATATTTTAGAAAGACTACCATCAACAAATCTAATTGATTTAACTAGTGATCTTCCCCCACCAACTATTCATAATCACAACTATGTAAATGACATTATTTTCAATCCAAGACCAGCTCCAAGAGATGTTTTTGACATGCGTAAGTTTTTTTGTTTTTATTTATCAAACATAAATATTTTAAATGTTTTTATTTAATAAATGTTATATTTTAGAACCATTTGAAGAAAGTCTGCCATCTGATATTGCTCAGCTTTTAAATGAGGAATGGTTTCATGGAATTATTGACAGGGCCCAAGCCGAATCATTATTAAAGGAGGTATAGACTGGTTTAATATATATTCATTGAATTTTATGTTAGTAAATTTTAGCCAGTTAATGTTTGTGTAATTGATATTTAGTTGTATTCATAGAGCAAGAAAATATTTTATTTGTTATTTTTATTAATACATAAAAATGCTTCATGTAATGTAAACTTCATCTAATTTGGCATCTTACAGTTTGGCATGGCTACCATAAACATTAATTATGCTTTGTTTAAGTTTTTTTTGTGATTGCAAGGCACAAGTGAAAAATTACTGACAAAATGTTGATATAGACCAGGATCTGGTTTATAAAACCATTTTAAAAAGGGTTTTGTGCAGCTAAACTATAGTAACAAGGGGAGGCTACAGTCAGTGGGTCACCAATTTCAACAAAATTTTTAATGTGATACTGCAATAAATTTTTTTTTTTAAATATCATCCACTAAGTTCAATTGATAATCTTCATATCATCTGTAATCATGTGTTATTTTTCTTAATCAGTTCCAATAAATTTAAAGTTGTAAAATTATTATTCTTTGTGTATAATTTTATTTCTGTTTATGTTTATTTCTAATCACTACAAAAGTTATGTTCTTATTTAAATGTTGTCTAATTAGAATTTTATTTTTATTTCAATTAATTTTTTTTCTGTTACATTTTTGACCCCAAGGTTATGTAATTCATAAGCACAATTTAAAGAAGATAATTTATCTGATGATCTGTTTAGTATTATTCAATATATCATTAATTAGAATTTATTATTTTATTTTTTTATTGAGATATATAGTATTCTGTCTCGTGGACAATAATTATAGTGATAAATGAACACATTCACACCATATATACAGAAAATATAAAATTAACAAAAGTAAAATAATAACTAAATAATAATAAAGAAAACTATGTACAATAAAAAAAAATAAAATAACCTAATGATAAGTAAATTAAAAACATAAAAACACAGCCATACCTATATACAATATATACAATCAGGCAGGGAACCCAATGCCCAAATTCTTCCCCCAACTATAGAAGGAAAAGCAGGACTCTAAGAGATCCATGCGCTACTCTCTAAACTGCGTCACTGGTGCTAAAGCCAGTAGAGTTTGAATTTATTAGAATAAAATTCAAATACAGTTGGCTTTATTAATTATTCTACACCATCAAAACCTATATATGGATTAAAAAGTAATTAAAAATTATATATTTTAATATAGAAAGAGAAGCTGTTGTATATATATTACGTAGTATACAGTAATATTAAATGGTATATATATTTTAATGTAGAAAGAGAAGCCGTTATCTATAAAATAATAGATATAGAAAATAATGGAATCAAAAATAACGTAAGAGACATGTACAAAGGTATAAATATGTCACGTAAATGTTTAGGACCTGTAACAACTTGAATTAAGGATGAAAATAACAATATCCTCAGTGACTGTAGATATATTGAGTAAGTTAATGAAACACTTTGACAATATTTTAAATATGAGAAATAATGATCTATGTCCTTATTACCAGGGTGCCGAACCGTTTATAGAAGGACCAAGTAAAGACGAAGTTGAAATAGCTATCGGAAAATTAAAATCTTATAAAGCAGCGCAGACCGATGATATTCCTAGTGAACTAATTATGGCATACGGGGAAGCTGGAGTTTATAAAATACATTTTACGGTTAAAAATATATGGGAAAATGAGAAATTGCCTGAAGAATTGAAAGAATCCATTCTCTTTCCGATTCACAAAAAAGGGCCGGATGGATTGTAATAACTATCGAGAAATTTCACTCCTTCCGGTATGTTATAAAATATTCACATTAATCTTAACTGATCGAATCACGGAATACGCCGAGAAAATTATCGGAGACTACCAATGCGGATTTAGATGGAACCGTTCGACTATTGATCAAATATTTTCTTTACGACAAATATTAAAGTAGAACAGTGTTGTTCACCTGCTTTATATAGATTTCAAAAAGGCTTTTGATTCCATTGACCGCCAGAAGCTATATAATATAATATTCTAATCGAGCAGGGGATCCCAGATGGAAACTCTCAATAAAGTTAGAATCGGTTATTATTTGAGGTTTGTTCAGGCTTAAAACAAGGTGATTCTCTTTTACGTGTCCTACTTAATTTGGCATTAAACCATGCTATTAGAAAGGTGATACAGACTGACAAAGGTTTGGACCTGGGTGGAACAATATCCGTGCTTGGATATCCTGATGATTTGGTACTGTTAAGCGAAGACATGGAAACAATAAAACTAAATACAACATCGTTGATTAAAGCCGGTAACTAGGACTCGAGATAAATACGGACAAGACAAAATATATGGTTAGCTGCAAAAACAGTGACAATTTCGATGATATCGATATAGAAGGGAATGTATTTGAACATGTGCAAAATTTTAAGTATTTAGGGTCTATGATAACCAGAAAAAAATAAATTGAAGAGGATGTTAAGGTTACAGCTTTAATGGCTGTACTATGAAAAGTTATAAGAACATTAAAATACAATAATAATAAGGCTTAGCGAATCCGAAGGTTCAAAGGCCGATACCACAAATCGATGTCCACATTCATCCATCTACCGGGCTCCGTCTAAACCCAACCCCTCCAGATCAGCCTTAATGCAATCTTTCCACCTTCTATGTTGTTTTTAATGAACATAGATGTACTCACCGGATGTTGATTCCTAGAATTCCTTTGATGTCTGTCAAATGCCCTTCACATGGTGGAACATGCTCTTAACGTGAATGTTCGTCATTAGGCCATGAGATGAACTACATGAATGTTCAGTGCATCGTGTAGCCAGAAAAAGCTTCGTTTGATTGGGACTATTGATGAACATTCATCACTTCATATTTATGACTCACCATTCCCAACACGGTGCCCTGAACCTATATTCGCGCAAACGTTCATAGCATTCAAGGCATCATTTAGCACCGCCTTGGTATATATTTCCAACATTTCAACTGTGTGGAATGGAATTTTGATACCACACAAGGAGCTTGAACAGTGACCAAACCTGCTGTATCAGATTAAGTCATTGTGTGTTTGTGTACATGTGTGTGTGTGTGTGTGTATGTTTTTTTATATATAATTATTTATTTTTATTTTTTAGGATGGTGACTTTCTTGTTAGAGAATCTGGAAGTACACCTGGCCAGTATATTTTAACTGGATTGCAAGGAACAACAAAAAAACATCTACTTCTCATTGATCCAGAAGGAATGGTAAAATGTTATCCCGCAATTCATTTTGTAAAGTCCAATGTCTATGTAGCTAAGGATTGGAATGAGCCTGTAAGACCAAATTTGACATTTCTTAATTTTATTTATTTAACGGAAGTTGTCATTGGATAAAAACTAGAAAAAATAAATTATAGTTGATTCCATCTAAAATAATGCATTCATTAAAAAAAAAAATCCCGATTTGCAGTTAACATTAATTTGAGATTTTCTGTTGTGGTCAGTTTTCTTACAGCACAAGCAAAATGCCACCTTCACATACATTTTTAATTCAGGATCCTTTTCATTATTTTAAACTTAAAAGTCAGTATGAAATTTTGATGAGGACTGAATCACTTTTGTCAGCTCCTTTGTTAGTTGTTTGTTTTCAGTTTTGGGACTACCACATTTCCCAACACCTTTCAATCAGCCTTTCCCTCCATTCCCCATTTCCATCCAGTCTATCTAATTACAATCTGTGCCTTTTTTACTTAATATAGTTCTCTTGTCACTCCATGTTTCTCCAGCTGTACAATTCTATGAATTGTGATAATTAATTTTTTACTTTTGACATTATCAATGTTCCACATATTAATATACACTTAATAATTGAATTTTTAAATAGAATTTTAATGTATTTAATGCAGTTGAATTTTTTATTAAAAATTAAATTGTAGAACAAAAACAGATTTGTGCAATTCTCTTAAATAAAAGTAAAAAATATGCAATTTTGTGAGAAAAAAAATTTTGAGAATAACTTTATTTAGAACATGAAATGGATAAATAGTTCAGAAAACTCTAAACGCTTACAAACCAAATGTGCAAGTATACAGGAATTTGGTCTCATGTGATTACCATAAATATTTAATGTAGTGGGAGAGAATCATGGTATTATTAGTTTACAGGGTGTCCCGTAAGTAGAGGGAAATATTTAATAGGTTGATAATAGACACGAAGATCTAAAAAAAAGTTCATATAAACAACTGCTCTGCTCTATTTCTAGCAGAAAAGTAGGAAATTTAAGATTTGTGTTTTTTTAAGTGAGTCATGGTTTTCGTTGAATAGGAAGCGATAGCTTATAAAATATTTGATTTAAGTAATTAAACATTGTATCTAGACAAAATTTTCCTTAAATGAAAGTAGAGTTTGTTCTTGCCAACCACTTTACGTGAAAAATATTTAAAAATTCATTATTTTTAAATTTTTTATATTTATAAATAAAGTGTGTTTTTAGGCAATTGTGTTGATTACAATATATTCCATATCATGCAAAAACAAGAAATAAAAGTTTTGCAACTGTTAATTGTAGTCATTTTTGCAGAGAACATGGGTACTTTAAGGTGACTGTATAGGAAATCACATTTCTTTACTCATCTTGAGGTGAATCTCAAATTTTTACTTTCACTTACTTATATATGAAATATAAAGTAAGGGTAAATATTGCGATTGTGAACATTTTTGAATCTGAGTTTTCAACAGAAATACATGTTTTGAGGTATCCTGAATCCAAATAACCAAGTCCTGCAAAATGGTCTGTGTGTGTGTATAAGTCTGTGGCAAGTCTAGCTAAAAAAAAAAAGTCGTATGAAACTGATATTACGTATTTTAGATAGGTCTTTGCCTTAGATGTTACAGCAACTTTTTCTTTAAAATCGGTTAACCGAAAGTGTCACTTTATATCAATGGTGAAGTAAATTTTTTCAAAAATGGCTCAAACGATTTTGATTAAACTCTGTATCATTGTATAATTAAGTGATCTTTAATATAATTTAGGTTTTATCCCCCGCTACTTAGGACTCCACCTTGACAAACGACTCACTTGGAACCCCCATACCAGACTGAAACGACTAGAAACCGCCCGACGTTTTCGACTACTGCAGCACTTACTAGACAAACGATCTAAGCTTTCAATCAATTATAAACGACTCGTATATATGACAATAATAAGACCTATTTGGACTTACGGAATTGAGCTTTGGGGCTCCACTAAACCATCGAATTCCTCTCGTATCCAATCCTTACAATCCAAAATCCTTCGTAAAATCCTCAACGCTCCTTACTTTGTCACAAATAAAATCATCCATAAAGACCTTAATGTTCCATATGTTTCCGATCTGGCCCAATCCAGATACCTTTCCTTCCATAACAAACTGCAGAATCATCCGAATCCTCTCGTTTCAAACCTTGCTTCCTCCTCGATCCCTGATAACCCTCCGAGGCGTCTGAAAAGAAGATGGCCTCGGGATCTTCTAATATAGAACTTTAATTTGAGTTCTACCAATGGGTAGTTTCTCTTCATGTTGTACATGCCATGTTACAAATTTCTCATTTACTTATTGTATTCTCTATGTAATACAGTTGTAAATTCCATTGAAATAAAAAAAAAAAAAAAAAAAAAAAAAAAAAAAAAAAGGTTTTATCCCCATTGATGTCACATTACAAGGCTTAAAAGCCCAATGTTCATATGCGTCTTCATCTAAAGTACCTGTAATATGGTTTATTTTTAAAAAATAACTCTTTTTTTGACTTTTTTTTCTATTCTATCTATTTATTGAATAATAATACAATCAGGCACTGCTGGAGGGCTATAAGTATTAGGGCTAAGAGTTCTCATTCAAACAACTTCAAACAATAAATAATAGAGAAATAAATATAAATATAAAAAGTAAATAAATAATACTGATGAAGAAAGTAAATAAAAGAAAAAAAAAAGTAAACAATAACATAAACTTTTTTTTTTGACATTAACTATAAAAAATGGCTAAACATGAAGTTTGAAAGAATATGATAATTGGAAACTGGAGAAATAAAGAAAAATGCTTATCAAGGTTGAAAATGAATCTCCAGAAATAACGGTCAGAAGGTAACGTATAATATATAGTTGGAAAACGGAGAATTTTAGAAAAAATAATATCAAATAAATAAAGTTGTAGAAGGTAACGGAGGTTTTCTTTTTTTAAAGTTTTTCTAAAAGAGGGGTAAATGTAGTACAGTTAAAGGGTGATAAAAAAAAACAACAAATAATTAATGAATTTTTTGAAACCGAACTTAGCTGTGTTTGTCCGTCCAATAGTACTCTTTAAATAGTTTTAACAATGACAAACTATTTCCGTTTAAAGTAAATTTCGACTAGTTTACTATGGGGCAATGTTTAATTACTTAAATCAAATATTTTTTAAGCTATCACTTCCTATTCAACGAAAAATGTGACTCACTTATAAAAACACAAATCTTAAATTTGCTACTTTTCTGCTGGACCTTTTAAATATATCCCTCTACTTACAGGACACCCTGTATAAATTGACAAGAGAAGAAAAGATAAGATTTATTATATTTATTTTAGGTCTTGTTTAATTTTTGGTTAAAGAAATTTATAATTTCCTGATGATTTCATAATTAATGATGTTTCCTTTTTAAAATATTTTTTCCCTACTTTTTTCTGTTGAGCATTCCTTTAATATTTTTATACATTCTTTTAGCAAATTATTTTAACACAATTATTTAATAACTATCCTTCACAATTTTTATTATAAACTTGTTGGTTATTTATATCTAATTATTTTATTATTTTTTTTTTTTAGGTTAGGACAAAAGATCACATGTTTGAAAGTGTGAGTCATTTAATTAACTTTCATTGTGACAACAAATTACCAATTATATCAGCAGAAAGTGCTTTAGTACTTCGTACTCCAATTTGTAAACCCAAATTAAAGTAGAAGCTTATCATATATCATGCTATTGATAGTAACTAGGTTGTTAATGTTTATCACAATTAAGTTACTTTGGAAGAAAAGCATACTTTCCAATATAAGTGTTAGGAGAACATATTTCATCTTTCTTGTTTGACCGGTTTTCAAAAGATTTCACTTGATTTGATCTTTGACTGTAACACAGGCACAATATCTTTTGTATAAAAAATGTATATTTGATAGAGTTAGAAAAAAAGTTCTTTAAATTTATTCACAACTGTCTTTGCTTACCTCAATGACAACATATGGGAAGTATCAGTCAGTATCATATGATTTGTGTTGTGTTTGGGTCTAATAAAGAAACTGGCTGAAAGTCTCTTAATTATATTCTGATTTAGTTTTAATATGAGAGGAAAATATTGTTGGACTTAACTCCCTTGAATTCTGTTACTCATATGTGTGTGTATTTTTTTTTTCATATTGTAGGAAATTCCATAAAAAGACCAATTTCTCTTAAATGTTGTTTCATTCATGTTATAACTTTGTTCTTAATTGATCATCTTTTGGTATGAGAAATGGAAAATTAAAGCAGTCATAGGTGGAGTTGTATTTGTATATTACCAAATTGTAGTTACTATATTATCCCACCTTTTTTTAGGAACTGTTTTGATAGTGTTTTTAAGTAGTTGTCTGAGCTCTGTTAATAGTTTCATGATGTGTACATATATATAAATGGAAAGATTACATCAAGATGACCTCTGCAGGAAATAAGAAAGTCTCTCTGTTTATTCGCTCCCTTTTTTTGTTGTATTGAGCTTAATACTTTAGAGGCATAAGTTATCTGATGTATGGTGCCACCAGGTAAATATAAGTAATGGTGTAGCCAATAATTTTAGCTGAAGTATCTGCTGTTAATTGGATCGGTAGGTATGCGTGAAAATGTATTATATATGAAAATGAAATGAATGAATGAAAAAACTGAAAAAATAATTTTATTCTGAGACTACAGTATACAGATACAAGTAATTTTACATGTTAACAGTAGTTTGAATGTGGAATAGGTGGTGGAACAGGAGTTGTTTGAAGGAATTTGTGAACGAGGATTGACATATGGAGGTAGGAAGAGAGTTCCAGGAGGTAGCACGAATGATGAAGGATTTGCTGAAGGAAGTAGTTTTATGGGAGGGTAAATATATATCTATATATATAGGCTTCGTTAAGATATCTTGCTTCTACCATTGGCTAGCACTCCCTAAATAGTCCTTATTTTGACAATTCCAATAGCTTTTTCTTTTCAGACTCTTAAGAGTCAATTATCAGAAATTGAGAAAGGAAGGAGTAAGGTCGCAAACTAGTGGGTTCAGATGGATCTGGGATTTAATATAATAGGATAAGTACCTGGATCTGGCCAAATGATCGACATATCGAATATTGAGATCTTTATGAATGAATTTTATTTGTGACCAAGTACGGATGGTTTGGATTTTACGAAAGAAATTAGATTGTAAGGATTGGATACATTTGATGGTTTAGTGGAGCCCCAAATTTCAATTCCTTAGTCCATAGAGGTCTTATCATAATCATGTAAATGAGTCTTCTGTAATTAATTGAAAGAAAGAAGTGTTTAGTGTGTTTGTTTAGTAATCGTTGAAGCAGCCGGAAACGTCAAGCAGGTTCTTGTTGTTTCAGTCTTGTATGTGGATTCAAAGTAAGACATTTGTCTGGTGGAATTTGTTCAGGTAGCAGATTTGTTCAACAGATATAAGTGAAATATTATTAAAATGTTCCCATGTAAAATGATACATTTATTTATTTGTAATATAGTCAATTTGAATTAATTGAAAATTTTATGATGTTACTTCTGGAATGATTCTGTTCATGGTTTTCTGATTTTAGCCATTCAAACTTAATACAGAATTTTCTCTAGTTTCTTTTTTTTTTTTTTAAGGTAGGGTTTCTGTTGGACGATGTAGATTGACCACTTTTGGCTGCCTTTATTTTCTAATGTGTCAACTAATACACTTCCCTCAACATCAGAATAGGTTTTAACCCATTCTATTTTTTATCATCTTTAAGTTTACTCTTCTAGAAAAAAAGTTTTGTCTAATCAATTTTTTTTGGATTTTATCTGTTTGTTTTCATTTACCAATGTATCAGCAGATATAGCAGAATAACCTTTAATTCATTCTTTTTTATTGGCTATAAGTTTTCTCTTGGTGTCTCTGACTAGAGAACAAGTGATGTCATTAATAAGGTTTGATTTCATGAATTATTTTTCAATTGAATATATATATATATATATATATATATATATATATATATATATATATATATATACTTTAAAGTAGTGATTCAAATATTGCTGGCAGATATATATCATATGTCATTGTGGTATGGCTTTATTTTATTACCAAAGCTTTCATCCCTTACTTGATTGTAGCACCATTAGGCATTGCTCATGTTAGTTTTAAATTTTACATACATATTCATTTGAAATATTAATCTTAATGTTCTACCAAAGTAGAATTATAATTTTTTTATATTTGAATTATTGTTTAAACATTTTATCCTCTATCATGTATGATAAAGTTGATATGTATTTTATAGTTTTTGACATTTTTATTTTTAAGCTCCTATTATTTCATTCTTATCTCTGTTTCAAATTTGTTAAGTTTTATTTTGATGCTATTGTATGGTCTAGTTTTTTATACCATCACATTTTTGTTTTTATTTAAGTTCACTTCTACACAAGTGCATGCCAAGTGCCATGTTTTATAGAATATTAGTAGACTTTAAGAAAACTAGATGAAATATCATAATTGAATGATTTTATTTTTATATTTATTGTTATGTTATTGAATCAAGTTCATTATATTTTAATTTTTATATTTTTAAAGTAAAAAAATGAAGGCCTATTTACATATGGATAATTTTATTGCACTTATTTTATTTTTGGATATATTTTATGGAACGGAAATAGCCATCCTTGTTTAAAATTGAATCCTTTAAAATCCTTGTTTTTAATGTTGAAAACAAATAAATATTGTTGATAAAAGATGAGGCTTTACCCTTGCTGTTTAATAATTGTTTCCTTAAATTAAACTTCTACAATTGTTTTTAATATTTATTTTGATGGAAATTTGAAGTAATGAAAATAACTACTTTTGGTCAGATTTTCTTTGTTTTCAATTAGCTACTTATTAATTTCAATAAATAAACTTTCATACACTATACATTATAAAACAAATATTGCTATGCTTCTACCACATATTTTATTTGAAATGGCAAATTATTTTGACTACATCCTTGAAACTTTTTATGTAATGCCTAATCAATTTATAAGACTTATTAGCTATTGATTCCCAGTTTCTTGAATTTCCTTTTTCTATAATTTTTGTTCATATATCACTTGGCAAAAAATTCTCTTAATTTTTTTTCTGCAGATTGCTGTTGAAGTCCTCCTCATCAAAGAATGTTACTTTCAATCTTTCTGTAGCATTTTCCATTCATTGTTTCCAGAGCCCTTTGGCCTCCTGTTTTTATGTAATGCACTGTTCACTGCATTAAATATTCATTATAACTCCTACCCTTTCCCATTTTCATTTAGAAGTTTAATAGATTTTCAACATTCAATAACACATATCTAACACCATTAGTTAAGTAGTCCGTACAGTTCCATTATGTCATTATATAGCTTCCTATTGACACCCATCACTCACTTAGTTTTATTTAATTCTGCTATAGTAGTTAGGTAACTATCAAAATTATGTTGTACTTTTTTTTTCTTTTGGTATTGCTAAAAAATCTATTACGACTTCACATTTCTCCAAATCTTCTGTCATCTTATCTCTGTGTGTTTAAATCGTAAGCATTGTTTACAAGAAACATTGTTTCCAAGATTAATATATTGTTTAACGAAAAAATTATTGGCCCAAATGATCACGTACTTCCTATAGGTATTGTGGTTGACAGGTTGCCTTCACCATGACTTCGAGCTTTTATACCCATCTCCTTCAAGCTACCTTACTTTTCTTGGTATTTTTGTTAGGCCCATCTTCTCCACATGCCCCAATAATCATAGTCCATTGAAGTGAATGAATCTCACAATGTCCAGTTCACCCTAGATTTAAGGGACCATATAGGTCCCTTAGATCTAGTTTAGTCCTGATACTCTATTTATCCTCCATTTTGATTGGCCTATAAACTGTAGGAAGTACTTTTCTTCCCCCACAAATGGGAAAGATTAGTGGGAGATTCTTTTGCTTTCTTTACTTGTGGACTATGTTTCACCACATCCATATATCACAATGGGTTTCACAATCGTTTAATGTAGGATAGACTTTACGTTTCTGAAGAGACATTGGTTTTCAGCTGCTATACTGGCTTTAATATACCTTTCTACTCTGTTCTTGCACATAATTTTGTCTGCATTAATTTCTAGTCCCAGACCTCCAGCTTCCCTGAGGAATTCTTGCCCTGGTACAGTCTGTGCTATTACAAGCACATTGGCTGCATATGCTAAATGCTATGTTATGTAATTTTTAATTGTACCTCCATTTGTTTTTATTTTCCTTATGGCTGTTTCCAATACAAGGTTGAAAAGCACTGTAGGTAGAGGATTTCCTTATTTTGACTTTTCATGGGAGCTTCTCATTAAAAAACTACTGTATGTATCAGCCAGTATCATTTTGACCTAGAGGCAGACTGGCGAAGCAGGCTAACGCGTCTGTAAAACTCGCATTGCTTGGAAACCAGATGAACCAAATGTTAATGATAAAATAATGAGAAGTTCGCACACCGGTGATGGGAGAGCTTTTCACTCTGCCATTAATCCCCTGCCCTCACCCCCTGGTCTGGAAAATACCTCTTATAGCCTAAAAGGAAGGGTACACCTAAAACAGAAGTGTTATTTTGACACCCCTTATTAATTTTATTGGATTTCCTAGATTCTACAGTCACTCATACATTATTAGTTGCTCATAATCATTAATACTTTGCTAACAATATAAATATATGTTAGTTATAAAAAACTTGCTTGATGCCTACCAGTTTAAATTCTTTACTTAGACAAATGATTGTTGGTTTAGATAATACCTTTATATTGTTACAAAATAAAATAAAAAAATCAATTATTCTAGGTAATTTTGTGTAGAAATTTCATCCGATATTCTTATTCTTCATTTAACTTTGACTAAGACAATGCAAAGAAAATTCTAATAATAGAATAAGGATACTGGAAGTGATTTCTTCACGAAAGTATCCTTAATAAATTTAATAGAAATCATCCATATGAAATAATATACATGAAAAGTGTCAGTTAGTGATAGCAAAATATTATTATAAATGTAGTTGTGATTATGAAGATGTATAAAAGAAATTTTATGTTTGGTGTTCACATTCAATGTTTTGTGTATTATGTGATATAGTTTATTAATGTCATACTGATGTGTATATATTTGTATTCTAAGGATAGCAATGTATATATTAATGCATATATTTTAAATAATGTTTCTCTATTCTTATTTTATATAAATTAATTTATTTAAATTTTACCCTCCTTTTACTTATTTTATATTCGTAAAACGGCTTTGTATATTTTATATGAATTTTACCATTGTATGTTAAAACATTTATTGTGACTTGTAACAATAATAATAAATATATTTTTGTATATACAAATCCTGTAATATGTAGTAGAATAATTATATTAAAACATAAATACACATACACACACACACACACACACACACACACACACACACACACACACACACACACACACACACACATTATTATTTTCAGTCCTTGTTCAAATCCTTTTTTTTTTTCATTTATAAATTTTATTCATTAAGGGACATATTAACCAATTGAATAATATATTAACCAATTTTTTTCTGAGCGTTTTAGAACTATTCGATTTTTGGTATGAGTTTCATTTATTTATTATTAATGATAATTTTGTTAAGAATACTTATATATGAATTGGAATATTGGCTAATATGTCAATGCATAAAGCAAAAAAAAAAAAAAAAAAAAAATTATAATTTAGAAACAAATAATGTTTATTATAATTTTTTTTCTTATTTCCTGCATGAATAGACTATTGACCTAATGGGCACTGTATTATATTCTGTTAAAACAGGCTAATGGCCTCTGCAAATTTTTATGTATTGTTGAGATCAATCAATTCACAAAGGTTAGCATCAATAATTCAGTCACAACCAAAATGGATGTACCGCATCCTAGTCATAATATGACATCTCCATATTATGTAAAACACAGTGGTGGCTTCTTAGTGGTTTGGGCTGTGTTTTTAGAGCAAGAGTTGAAGACCTCTCGTGAATAGATGCAATACTGTATGCATAATGGTGCCATCTGGGCTTAAGCTGGTTTGGAACTATTTTATTTTTCAGCAAAATAACAATAACAAACTTAATATTTTGTCATTTTCTGAAATAAAAGTAATATTAAATATAAAACGAAAAGAGGGTATGAAATATAAAATATTAAATTACTGAAAAAACAAAACAGAGAGTTCCAATATTAGAACAATGTTCACAGATACACTCAGGTTTCTAAAGTTTATACAATTAGTCCGAGAGCCCTTGAGAAAAAATCGACATTATTTGATGAAAACTTTAAATGCGATTTTTTGAATATTTATATTTGAAAAATGAGAGTCTGCCAGTCGGATGTTACCTGTAAAAATGGCGGCTGATTTAAAGAATAGACAGGTAACTTGAGGATCGAAACAGAATAATTCAGTCTAAAAAATGTGGAAAAAAGTTT